CATTGCGGAGACAGTCATCAGCAGCAGTGACACAACAGGCCTACTCTCCACGGTCTCACACCAATCCACTCAGCTAATGCAAGAGAAGTCACTACAGCAGGCGAATACGGAGAACACTACGGAGAAACCAAGCGGCAACAAGGCCCCCAGCATCAAGCACGGTTCCATATCAAATTATCACTTAACAAGCGGAGAACACCACTGCAACTTAGCCTATCATCCCCACTACATTAAGAAGTAAGAGGAGGAACTACAACAGGCAAATGCGGAGAACACTGCGGAGAACACTATGGAGAACACTGCGGAGAAACCAAGCGGCAACAAGGCCCCCAGCACCAAGAACACGGCTCAGCTCTCCAAGATCCCACGTCATATGCTCTCCAATGCATATTTGAACGAATTAAAACCATCCGATGTCTACGGCTATTTCATTATTCGAAAAATTTCACTGCGGCAGGAGATATTGTGAGATTCACACCACTAATTAGCACGTTGTCTCCATTTCTTTCCGATATTTCGATACTTCTTGCCATAAGAACATGGCCTTTCTCTATTTTTTGTGGGCAATTATTACGGATCAATCCTCCACACTCAATACACCTTCCTAATTAGGCCTTAGCGCGCCTCTCTCCGTACATATGTGCCTGTAATGTAGGTCAAAAACGCACAGCAAGCGATTAGAGTTCGATTTGACTTAGAAAAATCCAACTCCATGAATTTAATTTATGGGCCTTTACTTATAATATATAATATAATATATAATATATATATTTAAATTTAAATTTAATATATTTTAATAAGATTATTATAATTTAATAATTTAATAATAAATATTCTATAACTAGCTTTAATATAATTCTATTATTTCTTATTACTTCTTTATTATAAAAAATATATATATAATATACTATTACTTAAGAGATTTTATTTCTTTAAAATTTTATATAAATTTTATTTAAAGATTTAATTATATAATTCTTTTTTAAATATTTATTATATTAAATACTTTATATAATATTTAATTATTAAATTTAATAAAGTAAAAACTTTTATTTATTTACTCTAAATTTAATATTTTATTATAAAAGATATTATACTTATTTACTTTTTACTTTATCTACTTTAAATAATATTAAAAGTATATATTAATATATATATTTACTTATAAGATATTATTTTAATTAATAAATTAAGAAAAATTAAATTAAAAAATAATAATAATAATAAGAAAGTATATATTATAAAAAATTAGTTATATAAAAAGATTATTAATAGAGTTATTATTAATTTTCGATTTTTAGAAAGATATAAATACTATTTATATATTTAATAAAGTAATATTAAGTTCGATCTTTAGCTAGCGTAATCTAAGTAGCTCGAACTTTTATTTCACCGACATAGCGAACTTCCTAAGCACTTTAATTTCTCCGCATTTTTATAACACCAATATCTCTAACGATATATCGATCTGAGTTTTTATGTTATAGATATATATGCGAGCTACTTCTAATTCTATCTCTTAAAATCTAATAAGCGCTAATCTAATAATATAGCTTCTAATATCTCTTAGTTTATTTAATTATATCCGCACCGCAAGTTATAATATCCGCAGATATCACCGCTATTAAAGCTTTATCTTCTAATTCTTTACTCTTTAAGTCTTATCTATATATAGATAAAAAGCTATAGTAAATACTAAAGAGAGCTTTAGAGTTAAAGACGCGTATACTTATCTTTTAATACTCGAAGCCTTTAAACGCGTAAGTAAGAAAGCTGATAATAAATGCTATTAAATATAAAATACGAAATAAAAATATATACTTCGAGAAGGGGGTTATAAAGATTAATTCGAATATCTCTAATTAAAAATATAAGACGATTAAAGCTATAATTATATATCTATTATCTTAACTCTATATAATAAGCTAACGAGGTTTAGCGCTAAATATAAAAGCTACTTCTTAAGAAGCCTATACTTATAAATATATAAGAGAATAAACTATATAATAAGATAAAGAAGAGTTTTAATATATACGCTATTAAGGCTATCTTTATATATATAGCTATATATTATTATTTATATATTACCTCTTAATCTTTAATAGAGATTTAGATATCTAATAAATACTCTAACTATTCTAAGATACTTTATTCTAACTTTAAATAGACTTCTTCTATAATTTAACCATTATAGTTAAACTTTATCTAGATAACCCGCACTTTATAAAGTTAGAGCGAGTCATTATACTAGATTTCTATAATATATTTAATTGAATTAAGATTAAGGAATAAAATAATAATAGAAATATCGTTAATATAAAAATTAAGATAAACCTTATCTATATTATAATTAAAATCTTTAACTTTAAACTACGCGAGAATAAGAAGCCGCGTTATACGAAGAAGTAGATTAAGAGGCGTAAAGTATTCGATTAAATAACGCTATCTACATTACTAGAGTCTTCAAAAAATAACGAAAAGCGAGCGTTATCTTAATAAGAGCTAGGTCTAATATAATAAAATCTAAGAATATATATATACTATTTATACTTTACTTTCTACGATTTAGCGATAGCGCTATAGCTTTAATAATAATACCCCTTACTACGTATACTTTACTAGAGATATACTAGACTATATTAGATCGTTTACCTCGACTTCTTTAAGATTTAACCTTAAGATATCTTTATATAATATTAAAAATATAAATAACTACGAGAATTAAGCGAATTAATCTATAACTATTATATAAATTCTCTATTTACTTAGCTTAGAATAAGAGTTTTAATCTCTAATCTCTAATAAATATTCTATTCTATCTTATTACGTTATTATTATTATCGCAATATTATTAAAAGCTTAAGTATACTTATATAGATCTCTAGATTTAGACTAGATTAATATAGTCTCTTATTAAAAATCGATTAAGATAATATATCTTAATAAGTATATATTTATAATACTTTCGATATAAATTTAACGCTATCTTTTTATACTTACACTTACTAAATATACGATTTTTATATTATAGTTTTTAAGCTATATATTAAGAAAAAAGACTCTTAAAATACTTATTAATCTAGAATCTTACTACGAGCTTCGCTAGATAAAATACTATTCTACTAAATATAGCTTATATTAATAAGACTCCCTAAATCCTATACGCTTAATATATATTCTACGAGAATTTTAAACTCGTAATAAGTCTTATTTATAAGACTCTTAGAATTCTTATTAACTTAAAATCTTACTACGAGCTTCGCTAGATAAAATACTATTTTAATAAATATAGCTTATATTAATAAGACTCCCTAAATCCTATACGCTTAATATATATTCTACGAGAATTTTAAAATCGTAATAAGTTTTATTTATAATATCTTAATCTATAATATATACTCGTATTATTTTTATATAAGTATCTCATATCAAAAAAAATAGCTACTCTAAGAAGAGTTTTCTTTACTACTACTCCTACTAGCGTCGATACTTCGATATCTTTTCAACTTTAACGAGATTCCTTAATCACGAGTAACTTTTAATTATCGATAGAAGCTAAAAGCCTAATATCAAGATATCGTTCGTGTAAGAGATTTTTATAGGATATTAATCCTAAGTCTATACTTATCGTAATAAGGCTATTAATAGGGTTGGCTAGAAAACGAGGCTTCTGATTAGCTACTAGTATCATTACGAAAAACCCCCTGCCGACCTTAAAGTATACTTTATGCGGCTAACGGCCGCGCGGAAGCTAATCGGATTTGGAGGGGTGTATATGTATCAAAAGGGGGTGTACGTGTATCACTTCCCTTAATAATTATAATAAATATACTGCATATACTAAGCATCAGCACCGCATATCCTACGTGTGAGGATTCCCGTATCTCGCACACGTAAAAATCGCTAGACTGAATGATTTTTTTTTCACCCCCGATGAGGTGCTGGCATATGCTGAGTGTATCCCTTTCACCCCGGACGAGGTGCATATACTTAGCATCTACTCACCCCTGCCGAACTTTTTTTCACCCCTGCCGAGCTGTGAGCCCCTCACAGCGCATGGATTGGACTTTAGGTACTTCTCTTGGCTTGATAGGGGCATTAAGCTCCGAAACCTGGCTAGGGCTAGGTGCGATTCCGAAGAACTCTAGACGCATTGTCCAGGCACGAGGTAACCCTTTAGGTGGGGCGTTATCCGAAGTCTGAGCGCAAGAGTCTTGGCGGGTGCAGGACTTTCGGTGCAGACCTCTGTACAACAAAGAAGATTTCTCACGTACCGCGATACAATAAGCCTCTGCAGCCGCCATGATTGGCAATGCCAAGAGAAAGAGATTAATCCGATGCCTTACTTTACATGCACTCGAGGCCAGAATACCATATAAATTATTGAAGATTAGCCATAGGACTTCCCATGGAAATAAATCGAGAAACTCCGCAATCGCGGGCTAAGATATGTGATTTTAGAAAGCAGGTAATGCATAAAGTAGTTTTCACTGTTCCCACACCCTTTGCATGAAATAATGGGCGCATCTTCTGCGGTGGGAGGTTAGAGGGTATCTAAGGTAGCTTAATTCGTAATAGGTTCGATTCCTATTGGCGCTGGTACAATGGTGTAGCGGTTTTTTATCTTCTGTGGGCAGTCGGCCTCGAACCAATCACAGCTGAGTTCTCAGACTAACTGCATTTGGGCGCTGTGTCAGCGATTTTGGCGAAAACAAAATTTCCCCCCCCCCCGAAGAACGCATCAAGTTCTTGTCCAATGCAACGAAGTTGGGGCGTATCCCGGCAGACTGAGCTTTCCTCTCTGGAATCCGCAATGAAGCCACATTGAGAACACGGGACCTTCTCCGGTTTTCTCCATTGTTCTCCATCTTCCTCGTCTCCAGGTATACACCTCACTGCGCCAGACAATGCTTCGATACCAGGCAGCCACCGGCTTCAGCTGCGGGGTCGGCCCATACCTCAAGGCATATCCCGAGTGACCGTCAACCATTATCAGAGCCATGGGCATGACCTCTTGGATGAGAAGATTCGTTCGCAAGCCCCCAACGAAGCAGACATCGACAGATCACTCGAAACCAGTCGTCATACGCGGAAGGGACAAGCAGTCGGAAGGGACCCTACCTGCTGGCTTCCACGCCCCCAAGCTTCAGCCATCCTACACCTTTCTCAAAGGCGCTTGGAAAGAGAATGGACATGCCTTCCCCACCACGGATCTGCGCTCAAACGATGTCAAGATCAAGCTCGTGACATGGAACATCGACTTCCAAGCCGTGGCCGGACCCCAGCGAATGGCTGCTGCACTACAGTACCTCAAAAATACCCTCATCAGTAGCTCCTTAGCTGCAGACATGCCCACCGTGGTCTTCTTCCAAGAAATGACTTCCTCAGACCTCGATCTCATCCAGGCGACGTCTTGGGTCCAGTCGCGCTTCCGCATCACCGACATCTCATCCACCAACTGGCTCTCTCGCTACGGCACCACCACGCTGATTGATCTCCGCTTGCCCATAGGATCCGTCTTCCGGACACGATATGCTAGCAAGATGGGTCGGGATGCGCTCTTCGTCGACCTCGATTGCAGTGACGGTACGCGCTGTACGAGGAATGGCAGGATCCGGTTGGGAAATACCCACCTCGAGAGTCTCGCAGCGGATCCACCTTTGCGGCCCGCTCAGGTGGCTCTCGCGACTCGGCTCCTAAGTGATGATAGTGTGCACGGCGGGGTCTTGGCTGGGGATTTCAATGCTATCCAAGGTTTTGACCAAACGTTGCATGTGAAAAACGATTTACAGGACGCGTATCTGGAGGCAGGCGGGATCGAGGGGGCCGAGAAGGAGGGAGGCGAAAAGGGTTGCGAGAAGGGGTGGACGTGGGGAATGCAGAGCCATGGGGGGCAGAGGGAGAGGTTTGGGTGTTCGAGGATGGATAAGATGCTATTTTGTGGGGGCGTGAAGTTAGAGCAATTGGAGAGGATCGGAGGAGGGGTTAAAGTGCCAGAGGGAGAGGTAGGAGAGGGGATTTTTGCGACGGATCATTTGGGGTTAATGGCGGATCTTGTCATAGAGTATTAGCTCTACTGGAAGAGCAATCGTGGTCGACGCACAGAGGCTATACGCTTGAATCATCTTCTAACCGTGGGTCGTAGTCACATAAAGTCAACCAAATCCCCCATCAGCGTCCTCTGATACTTCTCCACCACCTCCCTGCATCTCGTCAGCACGCCAGCCGCCAACATCCTAATCCTCTCCCCTTCCTCACTGCCTCCACCCATCTTCTCAAAGACATTATCCACCCATTCCTGTGTCTCCAGCAATTCTTTCGCGTGCTGTTCTGCCAGTCGTCGCTGGTCGTTCTCATTGATACCCAGCAACGTCAAGAAAGCAAAGAGGAGGGCTTCGAGCACGGAAGGATCGGTGGCCCGGGCCCGTAGGGAGAGGAGTAGATCCCAGAACTCGGCTGTCATTTGCGGGAGGGAGAGAGTGGAGGTGCCGGATGCGTGGAGGATCAGGGAGAGGGTTTTGAGGAGGTGGGACAGAAGGAAAGGGGAGGTGTGGGAGGAATTTTCGCCACTGGAGATCAAAAACATCGTCAGCTTCGTTTATGCCGGAGGCGAACATGAGCCCCGTGTCGCGAGATAAAACTCACTATGATTGAAGGTGTATTCGCCAGCGCCCAGTCAGAGGGAAGAAGAAGCCGTCGGCCACGACCTTGGCCAGTGCATTCGGGATGGGCTTTTTCCTCTTCTTCTCCACGGCCATTCGAGAGGAGAAGGTACGGACTTTGAGTGCATTGGGTCCGGAGAATTTGTCTGCTGCTGCTGCTGCCATGGGTTGGATCATGGTCTTTTCTAGTTGGCTTGATAGGGCGTCCATTGGTGCGGCTTCCGAGGCGTAAATTTTGTGGAGTTTGTCAGGTAATCGTTTCGAAGGGGAAGAGCTCTCTGTTGTTGCGTTGGCGCCTGTCAAGGCAGCGTCCTCCTTGCCCAGACCAGCTAATTCTCGAGCGCCCAAACCAAGGACTGTGAGTACGGACGCTCGTTGTCCCATAGAGTAGTCGCCGTTGTAGAAGGTTCTGGAGAACCATTGGCCCATCTTCAAGGGCTCGGCGATCAGAACGGCTATCATGCCTTGAAGGCGCATCTGCTGAAAGTTCTCCATCTCCCATTTGTCACCGAGACCAACGAGAATTGACGCTAGCTCCTCGATATTGTCAGAGGCTTCAGTACCAAAGGCAGCCTTACGACGGATGAGATCGGAGGAGGTAGACAGCGCCAATTGGTGCCGGTCGAAGTTCTCGTCATCGCGGAGGCCTGCAATGAGGTCGCGGATATACCTGAGGATTTTGGGTCAGCAAGACAGACTCATGCGATACGAATTTGAACATGCTACTCACACTGGAGCCGTAGGTCGGTCCCGCCGTACAAGGGTCGGATCTTCATCTTCATCCTCGGGATCAGAGTCCGGCTTCTCATACATTGGTAGGTCCTCTGCTTCCGATTCGGAACTACCGTCTATTTCTTCGATCGAGATGACTTTGGAAGTCGATTGGGCTGGTTTCTTCGGTCTTGGTGATTTACTACTATTGACCGACTCTAACAGCTGAGCAGATGACTTGGTTGATGGTGTGGATGCAGGCTTCAGATCCTTGATCGAGCCAACCGGATCTTTGACACTGGTCAGGCTTCTGTACCACTGCCCATCGGAGCCATTCATTTCATCCGCGGTGAATGTCATTCGTTTGTCCTTCGGATCGACAAGCTCGGAGAAGGCAGTGCCAACTACCATCCCCAAGAACCGGGCTCGTTGCGACGAAGCGGCAAGACGATTTGAAACAGCATTGAGGTAAATACTGGAACGAGACAGATGCATCAGGTATGTCTTGTCTGCCCGGAATCCGTAACCAGCAAGTATAAGCAAGACTTGAGCGTTCACTGTCTTCGTTCAGTGACAAAAAAATTGAGAAATCTGAATTCTGGGGGCCTAACCTTCTTGGTGCAATGTAGGAGTATGCTTGATGTAAAGCTTGTCACCAAATAGAGCCAGACCTCTTTGCAGTGCTTTGGTGACTTGTTCTGGAAGACGACTTAGGATTTTAAACGTTGTAGAGCTGAGTCTGAGTACTTACCGGGGATGGAAGATAATGCTGCTGTCACGGCTCTGTGTGCATTGTGCACTTGGCCGACAGCATCAGCAGACACCCCTACTAGCCACTCGACTAGGTTATCCTGCAGAGTCGAAACGTCTCCGACGATCGCTCTTACGAGTGCTGCAACTCCTCCTATTGCTTTGCCCTGGCCCTCACGCCTCGAACCTTGGGATGGGCCTTCCGTGGGCAGATGTTGTTTTGAGAGAATTCGTATGATGGAGTATAGCAAAGTCCTCTGATCATGCGCGGAAAGTCTTGTCATGAGAGCCTTAGATTTTCGCAATGAGCGATAGTCACCACTCAGCAAATCCAAGAATCCGGCCTGAACAAGTTGATCTATTCCGAAAGAATCAGCCAGGACGATTCGTAGTGGCAGTCGTTTCGCTAACCTGTATATCCTAGAGTCAGGCCTTTGCTCAGCAGCTGCGACAGCGCTTTCTGGCCCTCAACGTCATCGTCTTTCTCCGCTTTGACCACGTGTTGCATACACCTTCCAAGCCATGCGGCATACTGACTGCCATCTCCTACCCAGCTACCCGCTCTAATACTCGGGCTCAAGTCGCTCAATGTAAGATTGGCTTCACTAGCAACAGACAGGACTTTGCCCGAAGCCACCAAGGAGGCAAATTCTTTCCATTGTAGAAACTTTTGAGATGATGGCAGATTGAAGCCTTCGATATCATGCCATATGGCTGTAATGAAATCCTCCTTGGCCAGGACTGTTTCAAGAACACTTAATAGAATTTCTACAGGCTGGGTCTTGCTGACAACGGGCACCTGAGCGGGCTTTTGACTATCTTTTAGCAAATCAAGTAGGAGACGAAGCCGGGAGGTGATGGCGCCAACGCCAGCAATACTGCTCAGGCATTGGGCCAGTAGATTCTTTTCTTGGCCGCTTTCAACGCTCAATGTCTCCCAATAATCAGGGACAATGTCGTTGATTAAAGTAAAGATTATCTGGGCAGCCTTTGGACCGGGCTTCTTGATGTCGAACTCATCATTGTGGGGTACTGTCCTATTGAGCCAACGAAGAGCTCTGCTAAGAGTCGCATGGTCAGGCTTTGATCTTAGAGCCTCCAATGCATCTTCCGGACTATTTATGGAAAAGACCGGTCTCTTCGTTTGCAGTGATTCAACGGGCAAAAGCTGGGCTTCTGCACGGTCTACTTCGACCCTTGGGCTTGTATGCAAGGAGGTGAGAAGGTCAGGCATTGTGCTGCCTCCACATGATCCATAGGATGGTGTAAAGGGGTGTTGAATGGAGTAAAGCCTGGCTTGGCCACAACTTTCCTATGATTGGTTGATCTTGCTGACTAATCTTGCTTTGCCACAATCCTCGGACCAACTTTCGAGACGTGGACGACGTGATACTGTTGTACGTCCAACATTTGCAGGATTTTCAGGACTCAGATAGGTTTTGAGGACTTTGCTAGCTCCAGGTGCTCGAGACACTCCTTATGTAAGGCCTACTCATCCAATTGCGCTCTACAATGCCTCGATATTCATGATTGAAAGAGGTCTTCTTCCGATAAAATTGACAGCGGGTACCCGTATCTCTGGAGCTTTCCGCATTCAATCACGGAAATGGCAGTTGTGCGTTATTTACTATGATGGCCCTTTTTCGTTTGATCTGATCTGATGAGCAATGGCTGTGGGATTCGGCTTTTCTATGAGCGACCTGTTCGCGGCCCTCAAGATCGTCAAAGACTCTTTTGAGGCCGTCAATGAAAAGAAAGGCGCGGCGGCAGACTATGCAAATCTCGTCTCGGAAATTGACAGTCTGTGGGATGGCTTGGAAGCAGTGGAAGACATTCAGTCGGACCCAGATCTATCAGAGAAGCAGATTGCTGCCATAAAGAGGGCGGTCGATGCATGTTACGACTGCGTGGAATCGTTTCTGGAATCCGTCTCTGATTATCAGCCGCATCTCGGCTCCAATTCGTCTGGCTTTGCATCTAATTACCGTAAGATCAAGTGGGCGTTGTGCAAGAAAGATGATGTTGCCAAGTTTAGAGGGCGGTTGGGAAGGCACATCTCCTCAATCAACATGTTGCTCATCACGTTCCAAGCCAAGCAGAGTCTGAACGCCAAGACATCTAGGAGTAACACCGTGGTCAAAGCCTTGCAGAGCGAAGGGAACAGCACCAAGGGGATGATGAAAGGGTTATCCATTGAGCAACGCCAATTCTTCATGATCATGGTCCAGCAAAACAAGCAGTTGATGCAGAGCATTGAAGATATGAGAAATATGTTGCAGCTACAAGCCGAGGTTCCGCCACAAGTGATGCTTCAACAACCAGTCATTTTCCTCGACCCATTTGGCAAGACGGCACCTTTCCACCTGGAATTTGTCGATTCGTCAGAATGCTTTATGGCTGTACTCAAAGCACGTTTCAGCAATGCTGGAGTAACACCTGCTGGACTTTCAAAATTGGACAATCACGACTTCTTGATCCAGGACAGCCGCCGGCGGCGGCCAATTGACTTGAAGAAGAACTGGGCTTCAGTCTTCAGACCTGGGCAAAACGTAGATATGAGCATGATCTTCCATCGTTTTGCTTGCCCTCCGAGCACCTGCCCCGTCTGTTTAGAGACCAATGAGGACGATCACGAGCAGGTACATTGCCGTGCGTGTGGTCTATGCTATCAGAATGTCCAAGCCATTAGCAGAAGATCTAGAGAATGGGATCCGAATCTTCCCACCGAGGTTAGTGTGAGTGGTGACGATATCCCATACTTACAACGTCGGCGAGGCCGAGAACCCGAAATGAAGGTCTTTCGACCGACGCAAGAAGCCGAAGACGAGCTCTTTGATGGATATCGAAGGGTTCAACTCGTCTCACAGTCATTGGATCTGCTAGACGGGAAATTCCCAGCGCTACAGCTGATAGAAGACTTTTGCCGCTTTGCGGAACTCCTCAAAGGTGTGCCAGACAACACGTCAGCGTTTGAGCCAGTAATCCGCAATCTCCGTGCTCGCGCTGTTCAGCATCTACTACAACAACGTAGCAGCTTTCCTGCATTCGCATCCTTTTCGCAAATTGCGCAAGTGCGTAGACGCCTGGGTCAAGAGTCTCTCGATTTGCGCAAAGAGATTGACAAGTTGGTATACAATTTGTACAACGACAGCGACACTAAGGAGCTGATGAAATACGTTCAAAAGAGTATATCACCCTTTCTTGTTCATCTATCCCCATTGACGCCGCTGACTTTGCTTCTTTTCCAGCATACCCGTCCGATAATGGAAAGGATTACTATACAAGCGTATTGTCCCGGATAGCGAGTCTTTCGGACTTTACGAAATCCAGTAAGCCAAGCGTTCGATCCACAGAGCGCATGGAGTGGCTGCTCCTAGATGGCAGATCCAAGTGAGGAAGCATAGCCTTGCTCTGCAGAAAGGGTTCGTACCGCAACATCGGCACAAGTCCTGGAACGACACGTGTAAATCTAGCAGATTGAGGGTTCGAAACACTTCCCTCAAGAGAAATTATTGCGTAAAGTGCCCTTTTTGCATATCGATTGAGTTCGGCCACCCACGGCCCTCAGCTTGGCGAACGGAATCCGTCATGTTCCAGCGACATATCGAGGGCAGCCGACATCGGCGAGTGGAGGCTCCACGTGTGTGGTAAGTCTGCACTCTGGGACTGTTGACGTGATTGGCTCTGCCAGACTAACCAGGTCGCAGCGTTGCAAATTTGTTTTCCGGGTTGATTGGCAGGCAACAATATATATCATTTTAAGAACATCTCTTCTACATACGGCCACAGACTGTTGAAAACTCGGCTTCCCGTCCGCTCAGCCAAAGATAAGCCTCAGATCGGCTAATTAGTAGTTGGGTCGGTGACGACCAGCGAATACTAGCTGCTGTATGTTTTTGCTCTTTTGCTTTTTTCTTTTTGGTGGCGAGAGACGATGCTACCCACGGTCGAGACTCGACACAATGTGGAGCCAAACCTTCTCCACTAAAGACCCTTGCCGAACGTCTTGCCTTGCACCACTATCCACCGTGAGCCAACTATAGACATATCCAGGACTGCATAAGACTAGCAGTCAGCATGGAGCTCTGAGTCCAGGCTCTGATGACATGCCAGTTTGGCGACTGATCAGATGCAGAAAAAGGACACTCCGAGGATGACAACAGGCAAGGCAGACAATACCTTCCTGGAGAGCTCAAAGATCTTCGATGTCTCCCATGTCACTGCCGTTGTCACTGGCGGTAACAATGGCATGGACCTTATGATGACCCAATTACATAACAAAGCTCCTTCTGTCTGACCTCCTCCTAAGCTCTGCTCGCCAACGGCGCCAAAGTTCACATCATTGACCGCCGAGACTCAGCTCTCAGAAGTGTTGTCAACGTCTATGATACGGAACCCGATCAAATCAGACCGCAAGTAATGTTCCATCCGTTTTCCAAACGCTATCCAGCCTTTTACGACAAACGCATTCAGTGGCCTCACCGCCGACATCAGCCAGAAAGTCTTCGTCCTGCAATTCGCCGCCTGAGAACCCAACAGCGTCCAAATTCTCGTCATATACACCGGAATCACCGTGACAATGCCACTCATTCTGACCGAGCCGGCGAACCCGACCCAGCGACCCTCAGTGCATCTCCATGCACTATGTGAAACCCGAATCTAAGCATTGGGTCGAGGCACTCCAGACCAATTGCATGTCTTCATCCCCTTCCTTGCCAAAGGCCACAGCGTCATCCTGGGCTATGGATCGACCATCGAATCAACGCACGCAGCAACTCTGCGTTGCTCAAACACAGCCCCCACAGCCATATCTCCTATGCCGCGTCGAAAGTCGCTTTCTTGCATCTGAACCCCATGCTTCCCACGACCTTTGCGCAGACGGGAGTTCGCGTCAACGTTTCGGCGCCGGGCACATTCCCAACTGAAATAGCGGTAGATACTTCTCGAGCCGATCAGAAGTCTAAGCTGGAACAGATGGCTATGCCCAGTGTGATCGGCCGTCCTGGACGTCAGACCGATATGGCTGCACCGACACTTGTGCTTGCGTGACGGGGTGGGCAGTTCCATCACAAGCAGATCCTGTACCCGGATGGAGCTGAGCTTCTGCCGCCACTCCATCGCCGCATGCAATCGTGCGACACAGGCTAATCCTCATCAGCCGAGACGCTGAGCCAGTCTACCACGACGTGGTATAAAATCAGGCCATTTCAGCTAGGGCAGTCAATCCGCTGAGAGCGAGTTGTATCATGTGTTTGGGATGGGGTGAATTGCATTAAAAATACTGCTTTGCCATTCATTCTTAGACTGGTAAAACTCTAAGCCCCAAATGGCTACGAGGATAACCGATGTGATTCCCCGATTGGAATGAATGGAGACTTCTGAGAGACGGATCGTTGGTATACAAGATGTCACCGAGATTCGAAAAGAGGGCAGAATCAAGTTGGATGGATATATCTAAAATGACGTCCAATTTGCTGCTACTGGCGGTCTCCGACCCCTCTGTTGCGTAACAACAGGTTGTCAAAACCGGAGGTTGATTCAGTTGTTACTCAGACTACTTCGAGGAAGGGCTTGTTTGTTTGTTTGTTTTTGTTTGACCTAGTGACTACGCGAGGACCAAAGAAGTACCCGTCACTATGCGGCATGGACCTGGGGTGGGACGATAGCTTTATACGGGCGTGGGAGGGTGTGAAGATAGTGCTATGGTTCTGAAAGAGAAGAAGCCGAATGAAGAGCCCGACGCTGGTGAAGGACGAGTATATGTAGGGCTTTCCAGCTGGAAAATTTCTCCATTTGCGGCTATGTTCTATCACGTTCCATGGCCGCATTCAATAGTCGTTCATGGCTACCGGACTCGGCTGTTAGACCCACTAACCCACGGTCCCGGTGCGGCGAGGTTTGCACTTGGATCTGTCCATTGTGCAACCATATACATGAACTTCCATCCAATGCTACTTACCATCGGTGAGCGATTCTGCTGTTCCAAGGGACAGGCGAGGCACATACTTTGCTTTCCGAGCTGTGTATTGCAATCATTCATGTAGACGCTCGAATTTCACCATGAGTCGATCATCAAGCGAGCCAGGCGGATGGCGCCCGAAACTGCCGTCCTTGACCGTGACGGTCTTGAAGTTAGAGTAGACGACCGCGATGACATATCTCATCACTTGTAACAGAGCATCAGTGTATTCGTTCTGTCATCAACACGAGGTGGGACATCGAGAAGATCCTTACTGTACTGGGTGAGATGACTCCCCACGCACATCCTCGGCCCGCTCCCAAAGGCCCACAGCACGCCTTTATTGTCAAGACCCTTCCCCTCGCCCTGTAGCCACCTCTCGGGTATCCACTTATCTGGTTGGTCCCACTGTCTTGGATCTCGATGCACAAGCCAAGGGAATGAGTTGACACGTGTGCCTGGAGGGATATTATCGATGCCGGCGAGGCTGACGGCGCGATCGTGAGGCGTGATGCGAGGCAAGGGCCTACTGTTCGGACGCATGCGGAAGGATTCATTTAGGACAGCAGTGAGGTAGGGGAGACTGTCGAGGGAGGCAGGCGAGGGTAGAGTCGGGTTCGGCTCGCTGGCCGAGATAGTAATGGATAGGCCCGCTGATGCGAGTTCGCTCCGGAGGCGGTTTTGTGCCTGCTGGTTCTGCGAGATGTAGTATAGCGTGTAGCTCAGGACGAGTCCGAGGACCTCTCGCGCAGCAGCTGCAGGGAGGCACAAGTTAGTCACAAGCGATTGCTGCTTTGGGGGAAAGGAATAATACACGTACACATATGATCAAAAAGCTCGCTGGCGATTTCCGATTTCTTGGTCTGCGTGTCGGCTCCGTTCAAATCTGCCCATACCGATTTCTGGACTTGTTGGTAGACAACTGGGATATCCGCTGGATCTTTGAGCAATCCCTGGTCCGCAAGCAAACGAGCTTCGTCGGCCTTGTCACATAAGCCCATCATCCATTGCTCCAAGTAGTGTTTGGATGGAAGATGCCCCTTAGGCAAGATGTTGATGCCCAACGTGTTCATCCATTTGGTAGTCTTCGGCAGCTCCTGAGGCCAAAAAGCTTCTTTACAATGCCGTCGCTCATAGTGTTCTAGCCAGAGCTGCGTGCCGCTTTCACTTTGGAGAAAGTTCGATCCGCTGGAATATCCGAATAAGAAGGCATTGACGTAGTCCAGACATAGAGAACAACTCAACCCAAGGAGTTCAGTTGGCTGGGGTCTTGAAGCTTGCTCATGCAGTCTGGGTATTAGGCGTCCGAGGAGAACATGTTCTGTCAAAGAGGCTAATTGAGCAGAGCCGAAAAGCGCAGATTTGGTGTAGACCACGGAGATTCTCCGTCTGTGAATCGAATGATCTTTTCTTGCAAGACTGCAGAAAGAGTTGGGTCTCCTGTAACCGTAGTCAGCCTCTTCTGTGACATCGTAGCTCGTTGGCAAGGTCCAGACTCGTAGCAGTTGAAGAAGTTAAAATAAGCTGGCTTATCAAAACCGCCTCCATATATTGTTCGTATGCCATCTTCATAACAACTGACGCCGAGGTCCTTGGGTCCGAGTCTCACGATCAGTCCCAAACTTTGATGAGCTTTCAATGCAGCGGTCAGCTCTTCCTGTCGGTACCGTTTCCACAGTATCCACCAAGGAACGAAAGGAGACGTCCAGTGGGCGTTGGGTATCTTGGCCAATGGGGAAATCAGGAGAGGATGGACGACGATATGGTATAAAAGAAAGCTACAAAGAATAATGAGGGTAGCTGGGGCAGCATAGCCCACCAAATCGGCAGACATGATGATGAAAGAGACTTTGACCGTTGTTTTCAACAACAACAACAACAACAGTAGTCCATACTCCTTCTTACCTAACCGTCTCGAGGCTGATGGTCAGATATATGGGCGAGACCCAATACTAGGCCGCTTGGCCAAAGCGCTGCTGCTTTGCAAAGCTAGATGGCATTTTGCTGATCTAGAAGCACCACGTACCCCGCATCCTCCACTATACGCAAGAACTCCCTCGTTTGTTGCACGCGTTCTTGTTGGTCGCTTGTACCTAGTGAGCCCAATGCATGGAGAGGAGTCTTTGGCGCGAATTTGGAAAAACCATGGTGACAATCGTTGGTATGATGATGTACCCAAGGAAAGATTTGTATGGGCCTGTTGTTGGCCATACCTAAAACATCTTGGGCGGATGGGACAGCAAAGGCAGGGAGTGAAGTAGCGACGCATTTTGAGGAATTTTGCAGGTACAGTGGTTTCAGCGAAGTGTACTTATGGTGACCGACATGCCTTTGTAACTTTTCGCTACTTTAAAGGGTCGGTTAGTGGTTTTCGTAATAGTACTAGTAGTCAACCAGCAGCCTGTTATTTTTCAGCCAATCAACCTAATTATACAAGGTAGTTGCATCAACGACGTCCTGACGAAGGCTCTTGACTCGTGTCAAGGCTTTAGAGATGCTCGTATCTATCTAAGAGATCTGGTCAAACCTCAAGACCTGCCGAGGCTCCGACGTTAGCAGGAACTGCGATAGGTACAGGTAAGGTAAGGCATTATCATATCTGGGAGCTGATGTCGATGTTACGCTCGGACTCTGGATTCGAAAATTACGACTCATTTGTTAGCGGCAGATCTAAGGATCTTTAAAGGTAAGTCTATTCTTCAAACGGTTTGGACATAAAGTCATTCTATCAATTTTGAAGCATCCCGTATCTAGTTGTAAATACTCTACTCCGTAAGGTATCGCGCTATCCGATCACTCTACTTGTACGCTATCACTCTACTTATGCGCTATCATCATTAATGATCTCAATAGCCCCGACAGTCACTATTTAAACAGTCTTTAATAAATATATTTATCACAATTAATTAATCCTAGACATCTTTACCGTACTCGCTTTCTTTTTTATAGTTTATTATAGCGAAAGATAGTAAGTCGAAATAATTAAAGATCTTCGAGAATTATAAGATCCTTTCTATTAATTAATAGCTTCTACTTACTTAGAATATATCTAATATTATTCTTAAGTATCTAAAGAATAAGCTTAACGACTCCGAACGCGATAATATATCTTGTACTATCGCTAAAATTTTACTTTATATAATTTCTTCGATAGTTATAAAAGTAATTAATTAATTAGATAATAAAGAATTACTCGTTACTATATTACGCTTAAAATAGTTTATTAAGTATATTAAAGGCAATCTTATAACTATAAAAAACTTTATAAAAATAATAATTTCTAAGATATAAGGTTTAATAGGCGTATAGACGAAAGGCCTTTTAATTGTTTTTTCGCTACTTTCTTAAAGTATATTATTATTATACTTATTATAATTAACTCTACTTTTAGAACTTAATAGAAAAAAAGATTATTAAATTATTATTAAGATTAAAGATAAAGATATAATTTAAAGATTTCGAATTTAAATCTTTAAGTAGCTATAGAACTTTATTAAAATCTATTTTAGATATTATTTAACGCTTAAATTCGTCGAAATTAAAATTACTAAATAACTTAAATCTAAGAATCTATAATTTTTAATAAAAATCTAGAAGAGCGCTAAAACTCTAAGAAATATTAAGAAAGCTAAGAAATAGATAGCGTATTTTAATATTAACGCGTTTATTTTAATTTTTACTTTCGATATAATTATTTATAATATCTCTATTAAACTTTATTAATTTTCGAGAGATATCGAAAGTCTTATTAAAATTATTCTTAAATTAAATATTTATAAAATTTTAAAAGTTAAAATTCGATATTTAGATTAATTAAATAAGAATAAAATTAAGAATCTATTAATTAAAGCCTTAGCGATAATTATTAAATTTATAAATTTCTATTATACGAATATCGCTTAGTTAGATAATCTAAGCTAAGAAATTTTAAAAGAAAATATATATTATAATTACAAAAAGTATATTCGAGAAAATAGAGTTATTAAATACTTTCGCTATTAAAAATTTAAATATATTATATTCTTATATAAAGTTAAAGAATTAATCTATATATACTACGCTTAGAAATACGATACTCATATATATAAGAAGCTTAAAAAACTAGGCTTTAAATCTATATACGCTAATTATAAGAATTAATATAAAGCGTTTTAATTAAGCTATTTACGCTATAAAAGTATTATCTTAAAAATAATTAAAAGAAGATAAGAGTCTTAAGCTCTTTATCTCGAAAGTAACTCTAATTAATTATAAATAGATATTAATTAATCTTAAAATCTAAGTAATAATATAGTTATATTTTAAAATATAGAGTTAAATATAATTAAGCTAAAGAGAATTAAAAAATTTAAATAAGTTATTATCGCCCTCGTCGCGGTAATAATAAAGAAAGTTATTACTTAATAGACTTATTTAGATATCGAAATAATAGAGCTATTATCGATCTATATCGAGATTTTAAATATTTAAATTAAGATATTTATCGAGATCTTTTAATAAAAAACTACGGCGTAATTAGATATTATAATAATTAAAGTCGCAGCGATTATAAAAGCGAATATCTCTTATCTCTATTTATATTTAATAATATCTCTTTATTTTTAGAGAAGCTATAATAGATAATAAAGATAAAAAAAAGAATAAATATAATAAGAAGCTCGCTTATATTATTAAATAAAGATCGCTATAGAAAGTAGAAGAGAAATAACGAAATAATAGTACGGACGTCGCTATCGATTTAAATTAAAATCTTTAATCTTATAAATCTTTAGAGATAAAATATCTTATTTGAGATTTTATTTATATTAATTTTTTAATAATATAAAGATTTATTTAGATAGTTAAGAAGGGATATAGAAGTTATAAAAGTTATAGATAAAGAAAATTAAATATTTCTTGTAAATAAATCTAATAAGAAGGTTTTAGATTTACTCTTTTATAATAAATTAATAAATAAGAAAATCTTCGTTTAAGAAGCGGCTAGAAAGAGTTATATAATATTATTAAAGAGATTTAAGATAGAATTTTCTTAGATTAAATCGAGTTAAATCTCTATAGAAGTATATTATTAAATTATATAAAGCTTTAGAATTATAAATAATAAAAATAGTAATATTAGTAGTAGCGATATTAGCGAAAATATTATAAATATCTTATTCTATAATAACTCTTAATAAGAATATATTCGAAATAATAAGTATTAAAGCTATTAAAATTATAACTTAGAATATTATAGTATAATATCGATAAATTATTAAATATTATAATTTTACTCTTTTAGAAATATATTCTATTTTAATATAATATCTTAGTTATTTAAGAACTCTAAAAGAACTTTAAAAAGAAATAGATATTTTATCTAATTCTAGTAGACTTTTATATTTACTACTCGAATCGCGAAGAATTAATTAGAGTATATATTTATATTAATATTAGAATTTCTAAGAATAAGTAGTATTCTTAAGTATATAGCGTAGATTTAATAATAATAACGCTTAAGTCTTAGAAGCTAGATTAGAAAACTCTTTATATATATAATATCTATAATATATTATCCTCTTAAAGATAAAAGATTTACTCTTATATAAATAGAAATAAGATCGTCTAAGATTACTTAGAAATTATCTTTCTCGATACTCTTCGAATTGCGATTATAAGAAATATAATTAATAAGTATTTAATCGTAAATAATTTTAACCTATATTACTCTCTATAAATAGATCTCGAAAAATATTAATATTAAGAAGTCTTATAGTTAATAGATATTATTAGCGAAGTTAAGCTTTACTTATTAATATTAGAAGATATATTTATCTTTAAATTAAGAAAGCGAAGTAAGATAATTATTATAAATCTTATTTTAGCTATAATAAATATAGTTAACGTTATAATTAAATATAATATTATAAAAAAACTAAATTTCGACTTAAATTACGAAGCGATTCTTATAGAATTAAATTGAAATATATATTTAATATTCTCGAAAGAGGTTTATAATTAGAAAAAGATTAATAAAGTAATTTTCTATAATAGTCTTTAATTTAAACTATTATTAATTAACGTCTTTATTATAATTATCGAAGATCTAGATAAATAGATAAATTATTTTATTAAGATTCTAATTAAAGTAGTATAGAATATTATTTTAATTAGTTTAATTATCGCGAAGTTTAAATTTAATATAAATTTAAAAAGTAAGAAAACTATTCTAAAGATTAGAAGACTAAAATTGCGATAATAATAAACTCGAGATAAAGGGAATAGAAGAAAGCTTAATATAGCTCGAAATATAAAATTAAGATTTATTAAGAATAAGAGAATAAAAGATTAAAGATAATATATAAAGAAATATAATAGCGATAAGAAACTTTAAAGATTAGATAAGTAGATTAAGAGCGAATAAGTTAGAATTATATTCTTTATATTAGAACTCGCGAAATTTAATAATATTATCGCTATCGAAGTTAAGAAAAAGATAACGCTCTTAAAAAATATCTTCTTTTTTAAAGCGAGATAAGTAAACTTAGATAATTTATAAGAATATTAATATCTTAATTTAAAAGAATTTCTATTAATTATAATATAAGAAATTCGATAAATAATACTTATAAGTTATTTTAATAAAGTCGTCGAAGTAAATAAATTAATCTTTCGAGTTTTATAACTCGCTTTTAAATATATAGAGAAATAAATAGATTATATCTATAACGTATATCTCGATCTCGAGTATTATCTAGAATACTTTCACTATTTAAAAATAATAATATTAAGAAAATCTAATAAGAATAATTATATCTAATCTAAATCGTATTAATCGATTACTCTTCTTAGTAT